ATAAAAAAATCAGCCGGGCGTGGTAGCGCATGCCTGTAATTCCTGCTACTTGGAAGACTGAGGTGAAAGGATCGCCAGAGCCCAGCAGGTCGAGGCTGCGGTGGCCAGGAGCGGCCACTGCACTCCAGTCAAGGCGACAGAGTGAGACTCCAACTCAAATAAATAAATAAATAAATAAATAAAATCTGTCCTTCCAAGGTTCTAAAAAGTCTGGCAGCTACTTGGTGTCATATGTACAATCTCAGTTTAGAAATGAGTACATCCATATTCCCTCTTGTAATGCCATTGCCCAGGGACGATCTTGGGCCTTGTTTCATATGATTCTAGGACAGCTTTCTTTTTCACATGACCCACATCTCCACATTTTGCACAAAATACTCCTGTACATTTTGCCCTGCTTGTGGGTAGGAATATCCTGAGCTATCAGTACTAGTACCTCAGCTAATAGCTTATGCCTCTTACTGTATGTGTCAGACATGAATATCGTGACCCCTGATTACACTGAGCACTGCCAGTGGACCCTCTGAGTTTCCTTTCCCTTGGAATGAGGGGAGAAGACTCAACTTTCCCCAAAGAACTCCTCTTCACATATCCTCCATAATTCATACCCACCCTATAGGTGACTCCATAGTAGATTTTGAGACACCTGTTTTAAAATTTCCTTGTGATAATCTCTCAGATCTCAAGTTGTTAGTGTTTGATACCTAATGTGTGTTGGCACGTCAGCTAAAACTTCTCATGTTGCTAAGAAACAAAATGCTTGTATCTCATTTATGTGTACTAAATTTACCATGTTGGATATATTAAATAGACATGTATGGCTTATGCAGCAATTTCAGATCTTCTAATTCTCAACTTAAAGTTAGGGAGTTTAGCATCCTTGTGTTAAATGAATGGAAAGCAGTAAAAAATTGACAATAGAGAAAAATATTGTCATTCTGTCTTCTGCCTCATCGAGCAGATATAGGACATCGCTTTCATTTTCAGCAAAGTAGATTGGGGGGGATTAGAAAAGAGAAAAATTTCTGGAACTCATTGATTATTCATTCTAATTTTATGGAACTTTGTTTAATACATTTCAGTTTCTAAGCAGTTGATATCATTTTTGTTTCATTTATTCAGTGTTTCTATTTCTCAAAATTATGTTCAGGACTTCCAAAAATTATATTAGTGCAAAGACAAAACCTGAATTCTCATCCTGTTTTTATAATATATTACTTAATATTCTACATCTACTAGAACTAGGCATCTTTCCAAACACAGACCACGTTTATTTTTATTTTAAATATAGCAGCTATCATGAGTAACTTTTGCATATATTATTTCTGCTTTTGATCTTCAACTGAACTTCGGGAGCTTATCCAACTGAGTAATGTCATTAAAGAAGCAAGTTTAGGCACCTCCTCTAAGAGTAGTATAAATTTATTCACTTTAATCTCACATATTGCTTTCATGTTACTTGTATTGTCAACAAGACAAATGTTTTACTATCTTCCCATCCTCTGCTGTAGGATTTCACTGATTTTACAATGATAACATCTGTACCAACAATGGCACAGTCCTTTAGGAGTAGGATAGTCATTCCAATAATTATTGTTGAACCAAATCTTAGCTGATATAAATGCATAGGATACATTCCCGTTTTCAGGTTATATCAAAATCTTGGATATTGATTAATAATGTTAGAATGCACCTAGTAGCTAGTAGTCTTTGCCATTAATATAAACTGGGTGGGCAAATGTAAATGCATATGCCATTGACTAAAAAAGCAAAACTGACAGTGTAAAACTCAGAAGTTCTTTCAGGATACAGTACTCCTTAGATTGAAGTTGTTACTCAGTCTATGAATTCTTTAAGACTATTTCGTTGTTTTCTGTTATTAAGCAAATGATAAAGTACTTCATGAACTACAGTTCATATCATCTTTCCATTTTCTGATAATTGCTGACAAGACTACACTGATATTCTTGAGATGATGTGTGACATTTTGCCAAAAGGAAAAAGCTGTTTAAAAAAAATATCTAAGCCGGGCTCGGTGGCTCAGCCTGTAATCCCGCGCTTTGGGAGGCTGAGGTGAGT